ATGATACACTGTTGAGCCTATTCTTTTAAATTTTGATTGAGTCAAAACTGAAAATACTTTTTCACATTAGTAGGTCACTGTGAGTGGTACAATAATTTTAGTAACAACTCATACAGACAAGACTCCTGAGTGAATTTTATATTCAAGGAGATAGGATATACAGTGCCAGCATACCAGGGCTTGGGATCATTAAGAACCATATTGGAAGCTTCCCAGCACAGAATATAGAAAGATAAGACAACTAAATGCAGTGTGTGATCCTGGGTTGAATTTTGGATGGGGAGGAAAAAGTGCTGTAGAGTAGAATTGGGACGATTGGTAAAATTTGAGTACAGGCTATACATTACATAATATTACATTGATGATAACTTCTCCGCATAAGTTTTTATTATTCTACAGTGGTATGGAAGACAATGTCTTTGTTATTTGGAAACATACACTGAAGTATTTACTTGAAAGAAAGCTAAGAAAATTCCCTGCAAACTTTTTTTTGAATTTGAAATTACTTCAAAATTTTAATTTTAAAAATGCCAAAAGAAAGTGTTTTTCACCTGGAAAAAAAATGTACGTGGTTCTTGAGTTCACTTATACTGAATGCATCACATGTATATCATGGTTATCGTGGTGTTTAATTCTTCTAATATGGTGTAGGATTTTTGTTTGCTAGTATTTTTTTGAGGATATTTGTACTTCTCTTCACAAGGAACATTTATTTGTCTATCGTTTTCTTTCCTGATGTTGTCTTTGTTTGGCTTTGACCTCATGGTAATGTTGGCCTCAATAAACGAGTTAGGAAGGGTCACCTTCTCTTATATTTTCTGGAAGAATTTGAGAAGGATTGGCGTTAGTTCTTTTTAAATGTTTGGTAGAATTCATCAAGCTATCTGGTCCTAGACTCTTCTTTGTTGGGAGATTTTTGGTTACTGTTGAATCTCTTGTTAGAAGTCTGTTCAGATTTTATCTCTTCTTGAGCCCATTTTTGGCAGTTACTTTGTTTCTAGGAATTGCCCATTTTTATTCCTTTGCAGTTTGTATTGAACAAGAATGCATTTTTACATTGTATAAATACATATGATTCAGTTTTATCGAAGTTATATTTGAACTATACAAAATAAATGTCCTAAAACTGCCTTCTCTTGCTTTGAATATCTGACCTAAAATACGGTTATCATGCTGATATTTTGAGCATTCCAGTTGCTTCACATCCTTACCAATACTTGGTACTTTCTGTCTTTTGCATTTTAGCCATTTTGGTAGGGATGCTTCAAATGTTTTTGTTTGGTTTTATACTGTCTTCTAAAAGAACATTACTATCAACAGTACATCCGGGGTTGAACATTTTTATTGTTTTTTGTATTTGTAAATCATTTTTAAATTAATTTTATTTTAAAGTCTTACAGTTTTTTTTTTTTCTATTTAAAATGTGCCTTAAGTCAAACTGAATAGAGTTAGCACTTTCTCTCCTTTTTGTCACTGTTAACACTTCCAAATCTGGTAAGGAGCCTGCTTCATTATTCTTTTTCTTCAAAGTCTACAATGATTTTTTTTTTTAAGATTTATTTATTTATTAGAGAGAGAGCAGGATGGGAGGGACAGAGGGAGAGGGAGAGAGAGACTATAAAGCAGACTCTTCCCTAAGTGCAGAGCCCGATACGAGGTTTGATCTCTTGATCCTGAGATCATGACCTGACTCAAAATCAAGAGTCAGACACTCAACCAAGTGAGCCACTCAGGTGCCCTGAAATTTATAATGATTCTTAAGGTCAACTTATGCTAATGTTACAATCAATAACATCCTTTCTGAAAAAGACACAAAGTTTGTAACTAAAGTTCGTTGTAAGAATGAGAGCTTTGCCATTGATGATAAACTTCTCATACTTTTTTTTGATACTTTGCTTCATAAATCTGTAAAGTTACTCTTTAACCTCTCCATCAGTCAGTGACCATCGTTTATCAGAAGATCCAATAAGATTTCCATGAACAAAACACATGTTCCTGGCCAATTTGTGTATTCCTCTCACATGATACTCTCAGTTGGCTGTGTTATTTATTGCACTCTTGATTCCACGTTGAGAATATGTGCAACATACTTGATGTGGTTTATTTCTTTTGTGACTTTTTTATGCTGGTGGCAAGCCACCATATTAACTTTATGACCCTCTAACTGGTCAGAACTCTCAGTTTGAAAACCACTGATTTTACTGTTACTATTATCTGCTAGAGTGGGGCCAGACTTCTCAAATCCTATGGGCTTCCAGAGGTGGGGTAGATGCATGAAACACCGTCAGGTTTCTGTTGGAAGGAGGAAAAGAGGGCTGGATGCTAGAGGTAGGACAGGCAATCAAGACTGTCCAGCTACAGGGACTGCTTACTACTTACTTAGCTGTCCCAAGCATCTGGTGTGATTTGACATATGTGGAGTTGTTTGTCTTTATTCTAATGGCTCCCAACTATTACTTTTAGTTTTTTCTATTTGTTCATAGTTCTGTCTCTTTCCTCAGGTATTTTTCTCGTTTTTCTCATTGTGCTTGCTACTATGTTGTCCACCACCTCCTACCCTCTCATTTTTAAAAGCACCCTTTTCATTTTGCTGCTTCTCATCTGCTTACACCAAAAAAAGACTATCCAGCTTCTTAAATGTTGTGGCTCAAAAGAAATCAGGCTCTTGGGGCATCTGGATGACACAGGTGGTTGAGTGACCAACTTTTGTTTTCGGCCCAAGTCTCATTTCAGGGTTGTGAGATCAGGCCCCAGGTCAGGCTTCATGCTCAGTGTAGTCTGCATGGGTTTCTCTCTACCACTACCCCACCGACCCTGCCAATAATAAAATCTTTTTAAGAGAAAGTAATCAGATTCTCAGCAAGGTCTTAGGTTTTTCTTTATGATCCTTTTCATGATTATGTTTGCTTTTTAGGATTTTTTAAATTATGTCTTTGGTTTTTACCTGTGGCCTAGATAACCAACCAAGTTATCTCTGAAATATAAAAATACTTCTGAACCCTTCAGTCTTTCGGAACAAAACTTCTACTCTTACTAAAAAAAAATAACAAGGGACGCCTGGGTGGCTCAGTTGGTTAAGCAGCTGCCTTCGGCTCAGGTCATGATCCCAGCGTCCTGGGATCGAGTCCCACATCGGGCTCCTTGCTCATCGGGGAGCCTGCTTCTCCCTCTGCCTCTGCCTGCCATTCTGTCTGCCTGTGCTTGCTCTCTCTCCCTCTCTCTCTCTGACAAATAATTAAAATAAAATCTTTAAAAAAAAAAAAAAAGAAAAGAAAATAACAAGAGGGTGGTTGGATTATGGACATTGGAGAGGGTATGTGATATGGTGAGTGCTGTGAAGTGTGTAAGCCTAACAATTCACAGACCTGTACCCCTGGGGCAAATAATACATTATATGTTAATAAAAATAATTAATTTTTAAAAAGATAATAACATAATCACAACACCTAGGGACCCTATTTTCTTTATGGCCTTCCTGGGAGTTTAAGGTTATCAAACTTAACCTTGTTTTCTTGAGACAAATGGAGATAGATGCTGACCCACAGTTTCACATCTGGGTCACAACAACTAGATAGTTGTAGTTTCACAACAACTAGGGAACCTTTAATTTTAGAATTATGAATAACACCAAGTATATTATGAGGTACTTCTCAGTTAGCCAATAAATATTTACTTTCAAATACTGTATTTTATAAATTCTAAGATGCACATTTTCTTACATTTTTAACATCTCTGAAATCAGGATACTTCTTAACAATTAATGGTATCTTAGAGTTGCTGTTGGCCCTATGGCAAATCATGGTGTAGTTTCTCTGTGGACTTGATTGTTAATATTGGAGTCATGACTGAACTGCAAACCCTTCACTGTTTTAGTCAACAAACTGTTGAACAATAAAACATTTAAGGACCTTTAAAGAAAGAATAGTTTTGTTGTTGTCCAAAATCTCTTCTGTTCATACTTTCTGTTAAGATTAAGATAGAACCACTGTCAAAGTTTACAGAATGAGCATCGGAAGCTTTAAAGAAATCTCAGAGACTATAGAATATTACTCTTTCAGGAAGCGCTATGTTACCTAGGATCTTAAGAGCATTAAGGACAATACTGAATGGAAAAACTTGGACATTGAATACTCTGAGTAAAAAAAGTAGACCAGAAGAGTGAATGCTGAATTTGAAGAAGTTTTAGGAATACCTTAACCAGTTTAGATTGTTTATATTTTCCTTTTTATCTCTGCATGATAGATGATTTAAGAACTTTCTAAGTAAGTCTAAAAGAATTCTTTCAATATTTAAAAAATTAGAATTTCAAGTAATAAAGCATTGTGTCATGATTTAATAGGCAGTGGTACATAAAATAGTGCATCTTGTAAATAATAGTATCTTTAATGTGATGAAACATTTGGTTTACTGTCAGACTTATTGTATAGTGGTATATTGCTTCCTACTATAATTTACTCTATCTCCTCTTAAGAAGAACTAAGGGATGATATACACATGTAAGTGAAGATAACACTGCCAGGCACTGTGTGAACTGTGGAGACCAGTATGTCTCAAAGTGTGCTCCTGGAACCAGCAGCACCTGAGAGGTTATTAGAATGCAAATTCTCAGCCTTTCCCATGCTCCGCCGCCCACGCCCACACACACTGGACCTACTGAGTCTGAAATTCTGGATATGGGGCCTGGCAGCCTGTGTTTTAAACCCTGCAGGTGATTTTGAGGGCAAACTAAGGTTTGAGAACCACTGCTCTGGTAGAGTTCTAGGAAAGTAAAAATTACTGGTGCTGTTGTATTGAAGTTAGGGGTATGAGTGATTTAGAGAGTAAGAAAACAGATTGCCTAAGTTCAGCTCAAGTACATACTAACTATACGTTTAAGAAAAAATGAAAAAATTTACCATGCTGTGGCTCAGCCAGGTACCAGTAATATAGGTATGTAATGAAATAGTCCAAAAACTGCATGTCCTTCACTCTGGGTTGACATTTGATCTTTGTCGTTTTAGCACGATGTATCTCAGACTTTACTCAAGGCAACACTGGACAGTGTTGTAGAAGAATGTGTCAGCTTTGTGGGAGTGGATATTAACATCTGTTCAGAAGTTTTGTTAAGGTAAGACAAGAGCTCTGTGGCTGAAGATGACAGAACCTTACATTTAACTGACTGTTCAGTTCAAATTTAGCTAAAATAAGGAGACACATGTGTAAAGTTGTCAAGTTGACAAAAAATCTTTGAGTTCATACCTTGCTTGAGCTAATCAGTTTGAGAGGAAGACATCATTTAAGAAGAGAATTGTAACAGGGGCGCCTGGGTGGCTCAGTGGGTCAAAGCCTCTGCCTTCGGCTCAGGTCATGATCTCAGGGTCCTGGGATCAAGCCCTGCATCGGGCTCTCTGCGCAGCGGGGAGCCTGCTTCCCCTTCTCTCTCTGCCTGCCTCTCTGCCTACTTGTGATCTCTGTCTGTCAAATAAATAAATAAATCTTTAAAAAAAAAAAGAAAAGAAAAGAATTGTAACAATTCACATTATCATTTTTAATACTACAAATCTAAAGTGAAGAACATATGGTAACCATTGAGTGCATTAGTGTTGCTAATAGAATTTAAATAAGGTTAACATGGAAAAGAGCTGTTTCCCACCACATGAGAGTAGGTTTTTTTCAATAGTTCAGTCTCATGCACACTTCTGTCAAAGCTGGCAGTAACCAAAAGATAAATTCTGAGGGTTCAAGGTATAGTTACGGTATTTTTACCTTGATTCTGCAAGTCACATATCAAAATCCTTATCGTACTATAATCACGTCTTATATACTCTGTCCTGTTTTACTGTGGTTATAGAAGAGCTGCTTTCTTTGTTCATAAGGTTTGTACTTATTACACAAGTCTGCTGAAGCAGCATGAAATTCTGGAACTATGTAAAAGATCTGGACTCTTCAGCTTTGAGACTAGTATAACAGAAAATACCCCTTACATTTTTTTTTTTAAGATTTTATTTATTTATTTGACAGACAGACTTCACAAGTAGGCAGAGAGGCAGGCAGAGAGAGAGGAGGAAGCAGGCTCCCTGCTGAGCAGAGAGCCCAATGTGGAGCTCAATCCCAGGACCCTGAGATCATGACCTGAGCCGAAGGCAGAGGCTTTAACCCACTGAGCCACCCAGGCGCCCCTACCCCTTACATTTTTTTTTTTTTTTAAAGATTTTATTTATGTATTTGACAGACAGAGACCACAAGTAGGCAGAGAGGCAGGCAGAGAGGGAGAGAGGAGGAAGCAGGCTCACCACTGAGCAGAGAGCCCGATGCGGGGCTCGATCCCAGGACCCCGAGATCATGACCTGAGCTGAAGGCAGAGGCTTTAACCCACTGAGCCACCCAGGCGCTTCTACCCCTTACATTTTAAGGTGTTGCTTTTCTACCACAGCTACAAGCATTCCATAATTTCATGTATGGAATTCAATAATAGAATTAAAAATCTTCTAAATTGTAGTTTTTTTAATTGACACCAAGCAAACTTCCTAATAATACAGTTTTTATATTTTTATACTAACCATGACATTCACGGAGAAGTACTTTTCTGTAGTTCAAGTCTTTACGTTAATAAGAACAGGCTGATTTAAAAAAAAAAATAGGGTAGTAAAATGCAACTGTAGCAATTTTAACTTTTTCTGCTAACTCACTTTGTAAATGAAAGAATAGGCATAATTATTACTTGATTCAGAAGTAGAAGGAATGTGAATAGTATAGAACTGTCAGGAGCAGTTCTTTTTCTTGTACCAGTGTTAACTAGTTTACCAGCATCTTTATGACAGCTACTGTTTTATCATTATTCTGCACTCTCTTGTCCTTGTCTCCCTTGAACAACTCTCCCTCTTTGTCTCTTTCATTTAACTCCCTTTTCGTTAACAACTTAGAGCCACATGACAGTATGTAATTGCAATTGTTTTTGTAATGCAGGTGTTTTATATCATTGGCCTTTCAGGTGAGGTCTTTTCTTTGAATACTATTGGAACTGTTGTGTCTGCCACATTACTCGTTTTGTTTATTTTTTCTAGGCACATTGCAGGACTCAATGCCAACCGAGCCAAAAATATTATTGAATGGCGAGAGAAAAATGGGCCCTTCGTCAATCGAGAACAGCTGAAGAAAGTGAAAGGTCTGGGTCCAAAATCTTTCCAACAGTGTGCTGGCTTCATCAGAATCAACCAGGATTATATTCGAACATTTTGCAGGTGATCAGTAATCTGTCCGCTCTGGGTTCTGTTATCAACCTCCTCTCTTACTGTTGCCCCTCTTGCTCACTGGCCTCCATTCTAGGTGTCCACCTGTTCATTCCTTCCTTCAACATGTGTTGACTCTCTGATCTTTGTTAGGCACTGGGAATCTAGCAGTGCACAAATCAACAAATTCCCTGCTCTCATGAAGTTAAATTTTAGTATGTGAGACCAACAGTAAATAACGTAGTAAAATAAATAGTTTCAGATGTAGTAAATTATACAAATTAAAAGAGAAAGATGTGACACTGTCTTGGGGAACAGTATGAGTTTATTACTCTTTACATGAGTTATTCACTGAAAAGTTATTTGAGCCAAATTTTGAATGACATGGAAGAGCTAGGGACAGAGGGGCTGGAAGGAAAGCATCGTAGGCAGAGTGTACAGTACAAGTGATGGGTCCCAAGCATGACCAAATGTGGTGTATTCAGGAAATGAAACCGTGTGACTGGAGCATCCCAAGTGGGAAGGATTTGTGCAAGATGAGAGGACTTCGCAGTGGCTGCTTTATATTGACAGCTGTTTCCCTAAGTGTAGTTGGGCCTCCTCAATCCCTCCTCCCTGAAAACTGACCAAAGGATAATTATCACTTGTGTAGATTAAGAACTGAATTCTTATAAATAAAATCTTAAAAAAAAAAAAAAAGAACTGAATTCTTGCTCTTATTTCTAATCCTGGCAGCACAAAACCAAAGAACTTGGGTAAACTTCTTAGCATTTAACATCATGAAAGAGTAGTGTGGGGTGGTTTTTTTTGTTTGTTTGTTTTTTACGATTTATTTACTTATGTGAGAGAGAGTGAGAAGAGGGAAGGGCAGAGGGGGAGAGATAGAATGAAAGAGAGAGAGAGAGAGAGAATCTCAAGCAGACTCCCCTCTGAGTGCAGAGCCTGATGCAGAGCTCAGTCCCAGGACCCCAAAATCATGACCTAAGCCAAAATCAGGAATTGGCTGCTTAACTGACTGAGCCACTCAAGCATCCGGAAAGAATAGTTTTTTTGTATTTGCTTTAGGACTGTTTCATTCATATTATTTTTTTCTTTTGACAAAATTATAATAAAGGTAATAAGAAAGAATCATCTTTATTGTGCAAAAGACTAATAAGGGAAAACCAGCCCTGCTGGATGATTATAATAATATAAAATTACCATTTAGTTTTGATGTAGAAATGGAAGAGAATAGAGTCTGAAATTCACCAAAACATAGGCAGAATTTAGTTTATGATAATGGAAAAGTTTCAAACAGTGAGGAAAATTAACTATCCAACAAGTAACATTATGACACCTGGCAGGAATTTGATATGCGTAGGGGAAGCTCTACTTCCACTTCATATCTTATACCTAAATAAAACCCAGATGAATTATAGACTTAAATAGAAGAAGTGAAACTGCAAAAGTAGCAGAAGAAAACATGGATAAATTTTGCAAAACATTGGAGTGGAGGAGGCCTTTATTAAGTAGACAACAAAACCTAGATGCCAGAAATGAAAAACAATTGAGGATATAATAATTCCATGTTTCTTAGTTTATGTTTTTTGAATACTTGATTAGAAAATTCACATGGTATAAAAAAGAATAAAATAAAAAGTAAAGGGCACCTCAGCCTCTCACTCCAAAATAGTTTCTTATATATTGCTTTCTGAAAGTAAATTTACACTTAGATCAACTTGGATGTTTATTATTTAAAAATGCATACAGAAGGGATTGTGCTGTCCAACTATTGGGAACTTACTTTATTTGTTTCAGTAATATATCTCAGACTTCTTTCCACATATTACATATAGATATATGTCATTATATATAATGCTTGCATAATAATTATTTTATGGGTGGACCTTAACCTAGTGTAGTCAGTGCCCTATTGATGAACATTTGGGTTCTTTTTAAAGCCTTATGTTTTTTCAACTGATAACAACGTACTTGAAAATTCATGACTGTTACATCTTCTTGACAGATCATACCTTTATTCAAAATGGACTACTGCTATCTCATTGAGTGTTTTTTGCTTTGAAATCTATTTTGTTTTTTAGCAGTGTTGCTACATTTGCCTTTTCAGTATGCTTGGTATTTTTTTAATTTTCAAACTTTCTATGACATTTAGTTTTTTTATACAACTCTTATAGACAAGTAGATTTCATGGTTTTGTTCAATTTTATATTTGTGCCTTCACATTTATTACATTTATTGATAGGTTTTAGACTTAATCTTTTATCTATTATATATTTTATCATCATCATGCTTTCTGATTTCCTTTTATGCTGTTTATTACATTTCTCAGCTAACAAGTTTTCCCATCTCATTTTTATCTCCCCTTCATGATTTCAAGTTGTATGTCTTTTTCTGGTGATTATCCTTAAGTGTCATTTAAGGTGATTTAAGGTGTCATTTAAGGTGATTATCCTTAAGTGTCATTTAGAGTGGCCTCTGTAGTTAATAGGTATCTCTGTCCTCCTGGAGAAGATTAGCACCATAGGACTTGTCCCAGCCTTCTGCTCTTCAACTCTATCCATGAGGAGATGACCTGGGATTTTAATTTTAGTTTCAGACTGTCCTTTATATATATTTCCATAATTCATGAGCAGTTAATAAGTTTTTATCATTTCCAGGCTCATCGCTGTTTCTTTTAGCCCACATTATCACTTTTCTTGAACTTGTTGTTTTTGCTGGAGTGTATCCTTAAGAAATTCTTTTCAGAGAGGGTATATTATATGGGTTGTACTTTAGTCCTACATGTCTGAAAATGATTTT